ACTTAAAAATTTTGAATTCAGATTCAGTGTTAGAAATTAGAAGAATTCAGAAAAAAAAATTCGTTTTGTAGCTATCGTCAAGCTAGCAAAAATTGAAATGATCATCAAAATTTTTCGTATTTTCGTATTTTTTTATTAATTTTGAGCTCTAATTTTGTAAAAAAAAATATTCTTAGTCAAAATATTGTAATTTCATGTTATTTTCTCAAATGTTTATTAAGAAATAATTTTTTATTTTATTACAAAATCTTTTTTTCGCAATAAACACTGCGCCGCCACGCCCCCGGCTAGTGTGTCTGCGCTTTTTTTATTGCGTTTTTATAACGTTTTATGCACTTTTATGAAGTGCCGGAATCTTGAAAATATTTTCATTTAAGAGGACTTAATGGATTATGGCTATGTATCAATTTTCAATATACTTCTAAAGTGGGGTTTAGACGAAACACCCTGTATAGTTCCAGTGGATTTGATGTCTAATCAATTACTAATTAATCAAAGTTTAGTTGGCTAAGAATAGGGTAAGGCAGAGGAAGTTGCTTCGTTGGGGACTAAATATTTCAGTGATTTGGATTAATATTTTTTATTAATCAAATCATTGATTACACATTTTTCGATTTTTTTGCCTAAATGAAAATTGATAAAACTTGTTTTTGTACAATTCAAAATTCCAAAATTGAGATTTTTATCAAAACTGTCAAAGTGTCAAAATTGGACTTGGTACTTGAAAAATAAAATAAACTGATCTAATATGCTGGAAAAAACTCGTTAAAGATCACAAATATGACCAAAATTGGGATATTTTTTATTAATTTGGATATAATTTTGTGAAAAAATTTTATTCAAACAAAAAATTTCAAAATTGGTCATTTTTCCGAGAGTAAAATCCAATCCTGAAACAATGTTCAAATCAAGAATATAAAACACAGCACTCAAATTTTTTGAATAATTTTGAAAAAATCACAAATGGATTTTTATCATTGAAAACAGAAATTTTTACTAGACTTTATTAAAATTTGATTTTTCCTGCATCTTTTTCTGAAATTATTTCTGATTTAACTATTATTTATCCTAAAATAAGTTAATTCGATGAAAATTCAGTAAAAAAAGTACTTAACAAGTACTTTGTTGTCATTTCCTCAAATGTTATTTTAGAGAAATTATTTTTTTTACGTGTTAATAATTCGCTAATTAAAATATTTCAAAAAACATAGCCACTGTTTACCTATACAAGTTTGAAACACAAAAAAACTGTTGTGTTTTTTTTTCAAATTTCGCTTATTATTTCATAGTTTTTGGAAGCAATTTAGACAATATTGCCTATATTTGGTGTGAACGCTGTCAAGATTGCAAAAACTAGTCTAAAACGACCTATCACTGCGCCACCACGCCCCTGGCCAGTGTCTCTCCTCCAATGTTTTTTCAAGAACTTATTTTTCGCGCTAGTTTTTTAGTCTATTTAGAACAACTTTGAAGTTTTCAATTTTTCGATTTTTGATAAAGTTTTAGGCAATTTTCCGTACCCGGAGCCGGTCTACCGCAAATAACTCCGGAATTAGTATCAAAAATTCCTTATGTTTGTTATCATTGGAAAGCACATTAAATTTCCTAGCTTATAAAAAAAAGATCATTGTCCTATGATAAATAATTACTGAGAAAATCGCTAATAAAGGCAAAACTAGTCAAAATCCATTCTTTGTTATAACTTGTAAACTGTTAGGAATTTTGAGGTTTTCTCAACGGCAATTGATTCCTCGGAACATTTTACATTTGCAGAGGCCAAAACATTAACCGTTTTTAATATATTATAGTCGAAATTTACAAAATAAAATAAAGTGAAAATTTTTGAAGACCTATTCTTAACTCTATTATTTATTACTCAATATCTCAAAAACTATGCATCGTAGAGTATTTTAACT